TTATCTCCACCCTAAAGGTAGCCCCGATTATTGCTGACTTAAGCATCGGAGTGTCTACCCCGAGTTCCACCTCGGGGCTTTGCAGGTCATTCCGGAGTGCAAGTGTGGACTGGAGAAGGACTTCGGGTTTGGTGCAATTACACCTTCTCATTTCTAGTCTAAAAACATGCTAATGTCGTCTAATTTAAGCTAACGGCATTGTTTATTGACTATTAAGTGCAACTGTCACACCGGTTAGGCCTTTTTTAATTCTTTTTTCGAAGTTCTTTCATTTGATTCTTTGTTTGGTTGCTTAGAAAGTCTGTGAAAAGAGAAATGGTTGATTTCTGATTTTTTTTAATCGACAAATTGATTTCTGAATTTGAAATATGAAGTGTTCTAATCATTGAGAATTCTTTGAATTTTCTCGGTTCCCCTAAGGTGGGAAAAAGCAGAACCTGTGCTTAAACCTTTGTGTCAGGAAGAGTGAGGTGAAATTCTTCTCTGAAAATTTCCAAATCTTCTTGCTGTGTTGCAAAGAATTGAATGGAATAATGTTCTTCAGTATTAAAATTGTTTACTAATTGTTGAAAGTGGCCTTATAGCCTTGTGCAACTCTATTACCCAACCAAAACCAAGAAACGGCAAAAAAAATTAAATAACGTAACACCGTTTTCAGATCTCGATTACCACCGCCATTCGTGGATCCACCGCTCACCTCCCCCAGCGCTAAGCTGTGCCTCAAGTGCAGCTATACCGGCCACATAATTCCACGACCACATTCCAAGTCCCTCCGCTACTTAGGAGGCGAAAGCCACATCGTTTCCTTTCTGTCCTCCACCGCTATCTCCATTTCCTCCCTCACTGCTCATCTCATCTCCACCCTTCACATCAACACGCCGTTTATGGTTAAGTTTCAACTTCCTCATCACGACCTTGATGCCCTTATCTCTATCACTAACAAGGATGATCTCCAAATCATGCTAGAGGAACTCGAACGCCTTTCTGCCTTGCCTGATCCTTCTCGCATCTAATTGTTCCTCTTCCCCGTCAAGCCCTGTCCGCTGGTTTGCACCGAGTCCAATCTGTCAGAGTCAGAGCAACCAGTCATGCATCGGCAAGAGGGAAACAAAGGCGTTCTTAGCTTGGGGCTGCCTGATGCTGAGTTGACTTGGACTGAGTTGAGTCAAGTCCAGTCGGGCAAGAGCGAGTTGAATCACCACATCAACCTCGCGATTATGCCAGGGGACTGTCGTTGCTTGTCGCCATCATCGACGTCGTCCACACTATTCTCTTAGTTGGCCCATAAAATCGACGCATTCGTCCGGATCTCTCGCGGTTTGAGGCTTCCCTTGGCATCGACAATGGCTCTGCTGTCGAGTGAAAGCCTTTGAGTCTTTCTCGAAAACTAACCAGTGCAACCATCGCACTTAACGGTGAATAAACAGTGCCGTTAGCTTACATTGGACGGATGGACGACATTGGCATGTTTTTGGATAGTAGAGGGATGACAAGTGAAGTTAATTAATAGTAGAGGGAGGATATGAAACTAATGATAGTAAAAGGTTTAAATTGTACTATTTTTGATAGTAGAGGGACTATAGAGGGCATTAACCCGATAATATATAATAAATGAGTAAAACGAAATTTCTTGCACGTTTCTTGTATCGTCCAATTCACTCTACAACCGTCCGATCAAATCCTATCCCTTCGGAGATTCAACGATTTTGCGGCATGTGGACTTCATTAACGAAGATATTATTCGTGAATGGTAAATGGACTGGCGCCCCCCAAATTCCACATAACAATCACCTTCAACTCCCACCATCTCAAAGCACAAAGTTTTCTCTTCAACCAAATAAACATTTTCTCTCATTTTTCTCTCAATTCCTAAGAAAAACACACTCTCAACCCTTCACACAGCTTAAAATATGTCTGGTAACCGTATCATACCCGGCGCCAAACCCGGCACCACCAACAATCCTGCCATCATAATCAACGTCAACAATCCTGTCATCATAATCAACAATCCCGCCACCAACACCCACCGCCACCAACCCGCCGCCACTAAACTCCCCGTCAAACCA